AATCAGTAGCCTGATTGTATTTCCGCTTCAGATGGACCAGACATAACGATCCGAATTTCTTTTTCAATACCTCAACTTTAGCAAGATGCTTCTGGCGATGTGGTTGATTGCAGTTGATTAGTCCTTGAACCTGTTGAATAACGATTCGAGAATCTCCGACTGCCACCAAATCTTGCAACTTCATTTCGATGGCTCGAGTCCTTTGAAAGGCCCATGATACTCGGCGTCGTTCACTGTGACGTTCTCCAACAGGAAGCCTTTTGCCTTTAGAACCTTCCAACCAGGTAGCTGCCATAGCACACAACCACAGCTTCCTTTTTTGGTGGAGAGTTTTGCGGCACCGTCGAAACTCAGTACGACTCCTTGGAAATCACTTCCTAACATCTCCACACTCACTACTGGGGGCTTTCGAACATGTCCTTTCAGGGGAATCAACTTCTCAACGACCTCATCCAAATGTTCTCGTGGCGTGATCCCTACTCCCATGATGGCTACCAGTCCGTCCCCATCCTTTTGGACTTTCCAGATTTCGATATCCCAATGTGAGAGTGTGACTCCCCAAGGAACGTACCTCCCGTCTGCCGACTTAGACTGTAAGACCCATTTCAAAACAGAATATCTTGTGTAGATGATCAGTCGTCGGCCTTCCAGAATAGTCCTAAAGACTTGTAACGCCCGCAAGATAGCAATAACCTCCTTCTCGGCAATGTGATACCGGAGTTCAGCATCATTCAAAACGCGTCCCGTGTACCGTTGTATCTTTCCATCGTATTCTTGTCCTACAACTGCACAAACAGCCCAACGGTTCGCGTGTGGAATGATCACAAATGGCTTTTGGATATCCGGATGTCTCAACATTGGCGTCGCAACGATTTTCCTTTTAAGCAGTTCGAATGACTCATGAGCTCGCGAGAGGTCTCGTCCCTGACGTATCTGCTCTTCTGAAAGGACTGCTGCCACTACCGGAAAGTCTTCAATGAACTTATGGTAGTAGTTCAGACTTCCAAGAAACGACAGCACACCTTTGTGAGATTTGGGGAACGGTAGATACATAACACCTTTTGCAACTTTTGGGATCGCTCGGATACCTTGTGCATTAATCTCATGTGACAGATAGGGGATCGATCGTTTTCCAAACTCGCGGTTTGGTAAACTCACCGATATATTCCAGTAACGTAAGCGATAAAGCAAGGTGTCCAGATCTTCACAAAGCTGATCGCATGTTTTCGCACCGTGAGCGATGTCATCAATATAAGAACTGCGCCC